TCTCACTGGTGGACAAAGAAACCTTTCTAATGGTCCAAGTCAACCTATCTAAAACATAATATGAGGCATTACCACAATGATAATTTTACTAGTTCAAAGTTACTAGTATTTAACCAAGTGTTAAAGCATTGTACACGCGTTTAATAGATTGAAATAAGCCCCAAAAAGGACTACGGCAATTCTAATCATGTAGGTAACCTCCCAAATAAGCCCTGTACACAAACCCAAATAGTGTTCTAAACCTTAATCTTCATTCCACCATGTGGTAGATGTGTATCAGAGAGATTTGGTATTTATTTACCAGAAATTTTGGAATTAAAACAAACTGACTCAAAGGTATAAAATAAATAGTATATTTTTATTTATTTGCTTTAGAGTGAGTCCTTTGATATTCAGTGTAGCAAAATGTTCATTTATAAGGCTGATATTAATAGCAGTCTGGAGAAATGTCTATTTTGGCTTGGTAGTGGGACATGTACCTATGTTTCATAGACTACACAAAGGCTTTTGACAAAGTATGCCACAAGGATCTGTTGGAACTGCTCAGAAACCTTAATATATTCAGGAAAGATATTAGAATAATCAAGAACCTATACTGGCAGTAAATGTGCACAGAGAACAAGTTCAGCAAAAATACAAAAACAGAAAGGGGCATAAGGCAAGGATGCATCTTCTCACAGCGAGGCAATTCTGAGAGAATTGGAAATCCTACTGGGATTCAGCATCAGCAGCCACAATCTTAACAACATAAGATATGCAGATGACACAGTACTGATAGCAGACATGGAAAAGAAATTACAAAATCTCCTACAGAGGGTAGCAAAGGAGAGTGAGAAGAAGGGACTAAGCATAAACTACAAGAAAACAGAATGCATGGTCATCACTAAAAGGAGGAGCCCAAAATGCGATTTGCAGGTCGGGAGGCACTAAAATCAAGCAGGTGTGGAAGTTTAAATATCTAGGAAATGTTTTGACAGAGGACAGCAAGTGTGACACTGAGATCCGAAGACGTATTGGGGTGGCCAAAGTCGCATTCCAAAAGCTAGGTAGAGTATTGCAAGACAGGAGGATCTCTTTGGTAACAAAGAGTACTGAGCTGTTATATGACATCTGCCCTTCTTTATGGCAGCGAATGTTGGACGGTCTTCTCAAAGATGAAGAAGAGATTCAAAGCAACAGAGATGCAGTTCTACAGAAGGATGCTGAGGATATCATGGACCAAGCATATGAGCAATGGTTAGGTCTTAGAGAGGTTGCAAACAAGGAGGAGACATATTTAATATCAGGAAAAGGCAGCTGATGTTTCTGGGACATGTAATGAGAAAGGGAGGGCTTGGAGAATCTGATACTCACAGGCTGAATTGAGGGAAAGAGAGACAAGAGAAAGTAACACATAACATACATGACAGGCTTAAGCAAGTGGATGATAGAATGTGATGTGAGGGAGGTGGCAGAGGGACGAAACTTATTGAGAACTACAAGGGATAGGGAGAAGTGGAGAGCCATGATCACCTAGGTCCCGAAAAGACACAGCAAATAAAAAGAAAAGTGGTAGTTTCAAAGCTAGACCTTGCTCACAGTTGGTCAATATTAATCTACTGTGTTTTTTCCAGCCCTAAGATAGGCAGAAATTATCATTAGCAGATAATATCTTAACTACTTCACACATCACACATGGCTGGTACTCTAGCAGTTAGTCTCCTCTTCTCGCTCAGAGGTGTGAGCTTATAGCCTTTTGCCCAGACTCCGAGACTCTGGTGGAAACCTTGGTTTCAGCTAACATCAAAATTCTCTTTATGTTAATTATTTTGATTGGCCAAAATTATTTTATTTTCTGGCGTTCTTTTGTTTCACATTTTTTTATATAACAGAAATTATGCATGGAGTCTGTCTTATTTTTGTAGATTTATAGTCAAAAATAAGTAGGTTCTGGTAACATAAACTTTGGGTGTTTTTTTTTGTCCAGGTTCAGTCTTTTCTTTTTCTTCCTCTTTTTATCTGAGGGTTGCTTTCTCATTAGTTGAGAAAGAATTATATAGAGAGAAGTTTAGAAAGAGAGAGAAAGAAAGAGCTAAGAATTTTAAAGGAAAATGCAAACACCTTATTTTAAATTCTTTCTTTTTTTTTGTTTATATATATATATATATATATTTTATTTTATTTTATTTTTATCAGGACTCACTACAACAGCATAATGGTTACTTTTTCTTCATTAATCAAACAATTTTTACTTGGAAGTGGAATTCCAAATTTTGATGCTGGTTTATTTTAACTTCATACTGATCAACAGATTGCCTTCTTTCAAAAATTAACAGTCTTCATGTTCCTGGAGTATGAGGCATTGTGAAATAATTGAGTTGTTATTTCATTTGTAATTTTGAAAGAATTTTTTTATCCAACATTATATATTATTACTATAAATGTCATTTTAATGGGTTGATGTGTTTGAGTTGGTAACCATTGTTTTATTCTTATTATCTTTAAACAGTGAAATTGATAACAAGTGGCCTAGATTAAGAAGACCTACTGAAGAAAAACTGTGGATAGGTCAGTTGTTATTGATTTCATTGTTTAAAGAAAGTAAAAAGCAAGAGATGGCAATGCAAACACATGTAGTCACTAAATATAATGTTTATAGAAATACAAAATAATGTTTATAGAAATATTAGGACCTTGAATAAGGTCTCGCTGTTTTCTAACTGATGGTGTTCCCAGAACTCTGTGTGTAGTTGCTGATGGTATCACATCTATAAGGAAGTATTATAAGCAAGCTTGAAATTCAGTGTATGTCATTTTGCCCAAGTGTAAACAACTTTGTTTTTTCATAGCGTTAAAGATGTCGAATATCATGCCAAAGAAAGTGTATTTGCAGGGAATTTTGCTGCACTACTTTATTCAAAAGAAATCTGCAGCTGAAGTACACAGAATTCTTGTTGAGACTTATGAGGACCATGCTCTGTCAGAAACAACATGCAGAGATTGGTTTAGATGCTTCAAAAATAATGATTTTGATGTTGAAGATAAAGAATGCTTCAGCACACTGAAAATGTTTTAAGATGAAGAATTAGAGGCATTACTTCATGAAGACTCATGTCAGGCACAAGCTGAAATCATTAGGAGTTGATCCCACAATTTTGAAATTTTTGAAAGCATTAGGAATGATTCAAAAGCAAGGACATTGGGTGCTGTACAAGTTGAAGCCAAGAGACATTGAGTGGTGTCTTTGTCACATGTGAACAACTGCTTCAATGGTAGAAAAAGAAAGGTTTTTTGCCTTGTATCATGACCAGTGATGAAAAGTGGATAAACTACGATAACCCTAAGCATAGATGATCATCGGGTAAGCCTGGCCATGCATCAACATTGGCGGCAAAGCCGAATATCCATGGTTCGAAGCTTCTGTTCTGCATTTGGTAGGATCAACTGAGTGTAGTTTATTATGACCTGGTCAAACCAACTGAAACCATGACGGGAGATCACTGTCAACTACAATTGATGCATTTGAGCAGAACATTGAAAAAAAAACAGCCACTATATGAGCAGAGATATGACAAAGTGATTTTGCAACATGACAATTCTAGCCCACATGTTCCAAAATGGGTGAAAACTTACTTATAAATGCTTAAATGGGAAGTCCTACCTCACCTGCTGTATTCACCAGACATTTTCCTTTCCAATTATCACTTTTTCTTATCAATGGCACATGATCTGTCTGAGCAGCAATTTCATTCTTATGAAGATGCCAAAAAATGGGTCGCCTCATGGTTAGCCTCAAAAGACATGTTTTTCCGACATGGAATTCAAATGCTGCCAGAAAGGTGGGAAAAATTAGTGACTAATGATGGAAAATACTCTCAGTGACATGTTTCTTACTAATTTTTGTAAATAAAACAGTACTTTTCATGAAAAGTCAGCAAGAACTTATTCAAGGTCCTAATACAGGAAACTAAGTAATTATCAATTAGTATATATTTATTAAGTCAAAGTATATACATCTATTAAAATTGGTGTTTATTTACTTATGTCAGAAGACAGAATGCATGATTGTCAGCAAAAGAGAAAACACAATTTGAACTATATATTGGAGACATCAAAATCAAATAGGTTCAGAAATTTAACTATCTGTGTAATGTAGTAACAGACAATAGAGAATATAATACAGAAATCCAAAAGCACATAGGAATAGAAAATATTCCTTTCCAAAACTAAGCAAAGTATTAAGACACAAAAATATCATTAGGGTTGAAGTGCTATGTAATGCCTAATCTTCTATATAGCTGGTAATACTAAACAATCTCATCACAGATGAAGAGATTTTTTTTTTTAAGCATTTCACCCCAAGCAAGGCAGGAAGCCACAAGCACGCAAGGGGTTACAGAGAGTTGGAGCAAGAGCAATGAGGAGTGATAGAGGAAAGGATGAAGAGAAGGATAGAGGATAGATCAGAGCATCTGGAGACATTGATTGACGTTACATTTGAATAGTTGGAGATTATAGCTATCAGAGAAACGGAAAAAGGGGAGGGAGTTCCACAGGCGAGAAGTGGAAGACATGAAGCTATTGAAGTAGAAGAGACGGCTACATTTAACAGTTTCGACAGTGGAAGGGTGAGAGTGAGATGCCAGCTTAGTAGTACATGAAATCTGGGAACTAGCAAAAGCAGCTCATCAAAGCAGTTACCATAAATCTTAAATTCATGAAGTCTGGATTTGAATTGATCAATTCATTCTTGACAGCTTATCAACCCTTTGCAGGTTATTTAAAGTCAGAAAACATTTTTAAATTGTAAGAATATTTTTTTTTTTTTGAGATAATAATGGTTTTAGTGATATAAGTCTTACAATTACCCACCTCTACCCTCCCATAACTGGGAGGGGAGAGGTGGGTTCATGCCTTTTTGCAAGGGTATTTGTAAGTGAATATATCAAACTCAGATTGGCGCTTGGCTGTTCGATTAACAATTCTGATCCATTACACCATCTATACATCCAAACTTACAACACCTGCCTGGTATTCTTAAGCAGTCACCCATCAAGGTACTGATCATACTCTACATTGCTTAACTTCAGTGATCATATGGGAACTAGTGTTTCAATGTGAACACCATGAACAGAACAGGTGAACAATGAGAATGTGTTAATGAAAATAGGAACAAGGAAATGTATACTTACAATAAGAAAGAGACAGCTAATATTTCTGGAATGTGTAAGGAAGAAAGAGGGCTTGGAAAATAAAATGTCCACAGGGAAGGAGAAGCAAGGAAGGAAAAGTAAATAAGCTACTTAATGTTTTTGCCAAACCCAGGTAAATGCAAAGATTTCAAACGTTGATTTTCATGGCAGGCTGGCCTTACCTACTTAAAAAACAATTTTCCTATGTATGTTCTTCTGCATTTAGCTTTTTAACATATCAAGCTAAGTTTTGTTTTCCTTTTTTAAAATGGCATATTTCTTCAGGTCATATCGCTTTGAAACACAGGTTTTCATCCGATCACCAAAGTTAAGCAACATCGAAACTGGTACGTACCTAGATGGTTAACTGCTTGGGAATACCAGGTGCTGTAAACTGGTATGATGGATAACAGCTCAGAATGAGAAAATCAGAAAGCTGGGTTTGAATTACAGTCAAGTTCATTACATTCATTTACATGCAAATAACCTTGGGTTAAATAGCAAGAAAGACTGGGGGGTATTATAGCTTCGGTTAGCAACTAGTCTACCAGAAAGTAACAGCAAACTCCTGCGAGAACTCTTCTGCCAAGTCAATCCTGAATAAAAAAAAAAATACATGATTTTCCAAGCCTTCATTACGAATGGCACCTAAAAAAAGGATTCCTACATGATGTCAGGAGTTATGGTTCCCTTTTACTTCTTTCTTTAATATCTGTGAATTGTCATGAATTCTTGGAAAACATAATGGTCTGGTTTCCCATTGCCTCTTCTGTAGTTCTTTATTCAGAATCAGTCTTACATCTAGCATTACAGCTGTCCAAGACAAGAATCAACCATTGATGAATTATTTTCTACCCTACAACCCCTTTCTTCACAAGATGAAACATCACAAGAGCCACTCACTGCTCCATGGCTATTTTCAGGAAAAATGTTCAGCTGAATTACACTCCTTAGTTCCACCAGTTCTAACATTCATAGCAAAGATCCGCCATTCCACACACATTGTAATGAACCCCCCCTCATTCTCTTAATATTCCATTGGTGAGATGTAAGTTTCACTCGAGCATTTTCTGAAGTGATGGGAAGATGCTCATGGATGCTTCCCCAATCACTACAATCTTAACCTGCTCAATTCTAGGTTCAACTGTTATCTTTGTCACATATCCTCATAAATTGTGCCTCCTAATTTGCAACCCTCTACCTTGAGTGACTCTTGAGCCTTGGACAGAGTGAACAAAATACATAACCTATAGCTGGAATTGGAATAGACTGATTCATGCCTTTTTCAAGGGCATTAGTACAAAGTTTGTACTTTGCACTAATGCCCTTGAAAAAGGCATGCAATGTACTTTGAATAGACTGATTCATGCCTTTTTCAAGGGCATTAGTACAAAGTTTGTACTTTGCCCTTATGCCCTTGAAAAAGGCATGAATCAGTCTATTCAAAGTACATTGCATTAGTACAAAGTGAATGAAGCATAAAGCTGGAATTCATATGTGAGAGCCTTTTGCAAAAGTTTGCTCAGTTTAACAAATATTGCTACTTAAGTATTTTATACATTCAGGTGCTTGTAAAAGGTGCAATATATAAGTAATGTAAATATCTTTTTGGAAATGAGAGCAGCTATTATAGCAAAATCTGATGAATGCAAGTCAGATTGTGCTCAGTATACATATCTGAATGCAGACCAAATAAGTTAATTTGCACAAACTACATCTAAGTACTCACAAGTGGCATTTTAGATGCAGCTATTTACAAAAATGAAATTATTAATAACTTCACTTAGAACTGTAGCCACTCCTTCACAATCATAACAGCGCATTCTATCATTTTTCTGTCTTCAAATGTAAGCGCCATATTCTCAGGCTACAGATCCCAAGCAACATCGACTCACAAGGGAAAGCACTCCAAATCGACAGTATCCTACTTTGGTATCCAAGCAGCTGATAAAGTTTGGTAAGGAGTTGGGATGTGGAAGCTTAGTATCTAACTGTTGCACGTTGCTTGTTGGCTTGTATTACTGTGTCAGAAATTAGACATAACTAGACTAGAATCTAGTATCAGTTAATAGGTTTGCAGTTGAGTAGGCATGGCAACGGTTTCTTCATAGTCATTATCAGTACGTGTTTTTTTTTAATCAGCAGGTGGAAATGATTTGTTAAAAAAGTAAATAAAAGAAAAAGTAAATGACAAAAATAAAAATATTTATTTTGAATTCATTACATGAAGAATTGTTGATTGTTATTAATTTTAGAAAAGTATTTCTTTCATTTTTATTGCTATAAACCTACTAGTAATAGTCTTGAGTTATCCAGATTTCTTAAGTGAAACACTGTCAGCTTTTATTCACATCTTATTCATTCCTTGCATCTTTTTTCTATTGCCTTTTACCTAATTATAGCAGATGTAATAGTCTTTAGTTCTTTAAGTCTTATAGTATTAGTAGTAATATTATCTTTAATGTTTTTAGATTAAACATTGTTTTTTATTCATTTTTCACTTATTCCTTTCATCTTATTTCTATTGTTTTTTATTACAACTGTCAAACAATCCTTTGACAAGCTGATTCAGTATTTTCCATCTACATTGTTTATAAAAAAGTATAAATTGATAATATGAAAGTGGTAATAAAATGCAGTTGTGTTGAGGATTATTTGGTTAAATGGTCACTGATATTCTTTACTTTTAAATTCTCAATTTTAAAATTTTCTTTTTATCTTTTATCTTCCCAGCTATGGGTAAATAGCAGGACAGGTTCTGTAACCTTGGTTGACAATTTTGAATTCAAAACCTTTGTGGCACACTACATTCACCAGTCCTTAGTATTCAGTTCTTCTGAAAAGTGTGTTTAGTTCTGCACAAGACTTCAATACTAGTTTGTTTAGTTGGAATCATCAAGTCAATGCAAAATATCATTTTTTAGTTGTATAGTATGGGCTTCACCAGAACTACATACAGTTTTGAATTCAGATTTTTCTTCTCCTAGGTTGGTTAATAGATGATGTTCCTTCACATTAAGATTGATGAAGCCTGGTTGTAAGAAAAATAATTCTTTCTTGCACATAGTTTTATCAAAAACAAAGATGGTGGTGATATCAATAGGAAATCAAAAGAAAGAGAAACCTTGAATAGACTTTAAGATTTGTAGTCAATCTTGTGTTGGTAAAATCTTCTGTATTCAAGTAATACATAGTATACAGTTAACTCTATAGAATGTCCAAACATATTTTGCCAAAAAGGTTATAGAATGAAGTGTGTCCTCCTATTTTAAATAGAATATATACAAGCTCCCCCTATTCAAGTAATACATAATATCCAGTTAACGTTATTGAATGTTCAAACATTCAAAAATATTTTACCAAAAGGTTTTACTTTCTACAGAACTATGAATTTACCTTTATTTTTATTTTTGCAATGATATCTATCCAGTACAAGGCCGGGGAGCCAGTCAAAGTGGAGAGTTACTGAGTAACAGGCACAGCTTATGCAGATATGCGTGGAAGATAACGGTTAACCCTAGACATGAACAGGTTAAGATTGTAGCTTTAAGACAAGCAACCTCAGTTCCACAAGGAAGTGATTTGCAAAAAGAAGCTGCTCAAGTGTAACTTACATCTCACAAAAAAGGAATATGAAGCGAATGAAGGTGGTTCACTACAATTGGTATGGCATAGCTGATCTTAGGTTAGGACTGGTAGAACTAAAGAATGCAGTTCATCTGAATGCTTTCCATAGAAATAGCAAGAGCAACAAGAGGCCTGCAACTTTTCAGCTATGAAAAAAGGGGTTGTCAGGTGGAAAATAATTTAGGGACTTTTGGACTGTATTGAAACTGGAAAGTGAAGACTGTGCAGCTTCTACCCATATATGGCAACAGTACTCCATTTTTGGCCTGATCTAGCTGCTGTAACACTCGTCCAATGTTTCAATATAAACACCAAAGAATTTTTTTATAGTTAGGTTCACCCTGTACAATGCCATTTGAGGTAGATGTTTACGAGTAATTTATATGGATAGAAGGGGAAGATAACTGTTAACTCCAGACTTGAAAAGGTAAGATTGTAGTGATCAGGGAAGCATCCTCTTGGGAGTCTGTTCCACAGGGCAGTGGTTCATGGGAAGAAGTTGTTTGAGTAGAACTTCCTTCTTACCGGCATAATGCAGAGGTAATGTTGGTGGTTTGCTACAATATAAATAGAATGACAGGTCCTAGACTTGAAAGTCAGACCCTGGAAAATGATAAGAATATTCAAAAACAAAAACGGCTAAAATAGTTTTAAAACATGTTTTGATAAATGACTATTCTTAATCTAATTTTCAAAACTGGAAAAATTTAAACAAATTTATAATATAAAGACACATTAAAATTTTGAATATAGCATTTGTAAAAGAATGAGTACAAAGAAATCAATATTTTTCAAGCTTTCTATAAATAAAGGGAAATTATCACAAACAAAATTTTCTTTCTAAAATTTTACTTTATTTTTCTTTAATACTACAATTCACTCATTACAAGGCTTGAGAGCCACTCAAGGATTACTATTAAAATGGTTACAATGATTGTAGAAAAATTGGCTATGGTTAAATCTAATTGTCAGAAATGCTCAACAAATAGAAAGAGTAAAAAATACAGAGAACCCTCCCTGCCTCCAATAAGAATGGGGTGATTCCCAACTCCTCAAGAGTGCCTCATTATGCTTGCTTGGGCTCATGCTGTCCACTGATATGAGGTGGAATAAATACATTGAATCAATAGCTTTATCTACTGCAAGGAAAGTTGGTTCTCTATGTCATGCCAGAATGTTTTTCTCATCTGATTCCATCCTTCAAATCTATAAATCAATCATCCGTCCTTGCATAGAATATTGCTGTCATATATGGTCTGGTGTCCCTGCTGTACAACTCAAGGTCCTCAACAAAATCCAGAGATGAATATTCAATTTCTGGAATGAGTAATAAACATTATTTACAATTGAGCTATTGTCCTCATCTTTGTAGGAAATTCAGTTGTCCACGTTTTTTTATATTTAAAATCCGAACATCCGAATCCCAAAGAGTAATAAGATAAAAATAGAGAAAACTCAGGTATTCCTGTTAAATAAATCATTTGTATTTACAAACATATAAATATATTGTAATGACAAAAGTACACGGATGTAAGTTTTAAGAAAGCTTTATTCAACTGAGAATACAAGGTTCACGTATTGTGTCCTTCTATAGTCCCAGTAAACAGAAATACCTCTCTCAAAGAGGAGAGTAATAAAACAAAGGGTGATCACTTTTGATTATTCATAACATATATATCATTTGTATATACAAACATATAAACCAAACACCATCTCAAATACCAGAATTTGTCAGATAAAGTGTATACAGTGCAAAAACATTTAAG